GGTGAGTGTTGACTGCGCTGGTTCGGGGAGTGCCGCTTCCAGGCAGTTGAGCAGGCGGTGTAGGGGTGTTTGGGCGGTGAAGGGCGGAGTGAGGAGGTGGAGGAGGTCGGCGAGGGGTGAGGGGTCAGGGGGTTCCATGGAGCGGAGGAGGTCACCGGCCTGTAGTGCGGAGGCCAGGTAGCTGTAGCTGCCTTCCGCGGCGGGGTCAATGAGGCCGAGGCCTCCTATGGTGATCGGCAGGGTCGCCTGTCGCCAGAGGAGATCTCGGCCTTCAGCGTCCCGTGGCTGCTGGAGCTCGCATGACTTGAGCGCTGCTTCCAGCAGGGACTTCCCCCACTGCGTCCATTCCTCGGGGGGGGGGAGGTCGGTGGGGGTGGTGCGGAGGAGGTAGGATGCCCTCCTCGTGATGCAGCGGGTGAGGAGTAGCAGCGCGACTTGCGGGTGCAGTTGCTCTACCAGGGGGAGCGCCGCTGCCGCTTTTTCGAGCGTGTGGCGGATGATGTCCCTGCATCCGTGGGTGGTGCCGATGGGGCTGCCCAGGACCTTGATTGCGTCATGGGTGAGTGGTACTCCGGCGGGGATGAGCGCGGGGTCCACCGGTGCGGGTGACCAGGCTGCGCATTTGCTGGCGTTGCAGGTGAGTCCAACCGCTGCTACCCGACCCGTGAGGGCATAGAAGGCGCCGCGCATGCCGGCGGCGGGCCAATGATGGTCACGTCGTCTGCATATGCCAGTAGGAGGACGTCTGGGTACTCCTCTGCTGTCATGCTCAGCGCCTGGTGGAGGGCGAGGGCGAACAGCATGGGGCCCAGCGGGTCGCCTTGCCGTACGCCCCGCTCGCTGATGAGCGGGTCAGCGCCGAATGCGTGGTCGAGCAGCAGGCTCGATGGCCTTCCATAGGAGAGGCGGGTTAGGGGCAGCAGCCCTTTGAGCGGGCTGTCGCGTAGGGCGCGGAAGAAAGCGATGCGTTCGACTGAGTTGAACGCGTTGGAGAAGCCCACCTGGAGGAGTAGGTGTTCGGGGTGCTGTTCGAGGTGGGTTCTTGTTGCGTGCACTGCCGTTTCGCCCCCTCCCTTCATCGCCACTCCGAGCTGCAGGGGCGCTAAGTGGGCTTGGGCCAGGGTCGTCGTGAGGTGCAGGCTGGCCTTCCCGAAGAGGCGTAGTAGGCACTCGCCGATGGCGATGGGCCTGGTGCCGCCGTCGGGTTTGGTGAATGCCAGCAATCTTGAGGCGGTGAGGAGGTCCGCCGCCTCTAGCGGCACTTGCCCTGCGAGTGCCGCGTTGGTCACTTCTGTGAGCAGATTCAGGACGTCAGCGTTCGAGGCGGCTGCGTCCCTCAGATGTTCGAAGCACATACCGCTGGGCCCCGCCCCAACCCCATTCGGGTTCCGTCGTAGTACGGCTTTGAGCTCCCGTGGTGTCATGGTGAGACGCGGCGGCTGCGGCGTTGTAACGGCGTCAGTGGGTGTTGTGCTTGTGAATGTCGCCCAGTTGGGGAGGGCGTGTTCGGCGGCTGGGTGTTTGTCTCGGAGGGTGTTAAGTGTCTCCAGGGTGGGTTCGCACACAGGGGTGGATTCCAGGGCTTGGAGGGCCTTCCGCAGGTTCCCGCGCATAGTGAGTGTTTCTGTCACAGGATGGAATGTCCCGAGGAAAGGTTTGCTCAATCTTGCCCTATCAATCAGTACAAGGCGCTTTTATACTTCCAGAATACATCAGGTAACCAGGTTTATCTTATCCTAAGGGAATAGACCCTTCTAGAAATAGAATCACCATGCGTATAGCCACGCGAGGCTATTGGCTTTAAGGGATTACGACAGGATTACGCTAGATATAGCGCGCCAGTACATCCCGAGCCTGGTCGGTGATATAATTATAATAACAGGATAAACCAAAGGATAATGGAAAAGGAGGAATAGGAAACCAAATGAGATGAGATAAACACCAATTAAATCAGGAGTAAAAGAGGAATGAAATAGATAGGAAATATGGAAAGGGGAAATTGGTGTAACGGGGTCGTACTCTCACAGTTTCCGCTCGGGCTAAGTGCCCGGCGGTGTCATTCGCGTATCGTGGGGGTCGTGGTAGTGAAATCGAGGTCACGGCCTCGTCGTATAGTGACTCCCAGGCGCCTGTGGCGAATTTGCGACAACGTCGTAACATTCCATCCCAGTCCGGCTTCCTCGTCGACGTAGTTGCGAGGGTCAGGCGAGGGAGGAGGAGTAACAGGCGCCAACCTCCTCTGCTGTCCGTGTTACGCGCGAGGTGCAGCAGTGGTGTCAGCAGGCAGGACGCGAACTCCGCCAGGATTTTGCGCGGTAGGCGACGTGCCAGGGGTGGGAGCCTGGACTCGCAGAGCACAGTCATGTCCCACTCGCACACTTTGGCGAAAAGTTCGTCGTTCTTCGCCAACGCCAGAGGGGATTGTACCCGCGCTGCAGGGGTTGGTCTGCAGGCGACTGCCGAGCCGCGGCGGGTGTTGGATGTGGCGGCTCGCCGGTTGGATTGGCCGGGCCGCACATTTGCGTTTCGGGCGGGGGAGTCCTCCAAATCTCCCTCGTCTGGGGCGCCTTCCCAGTTTACCCCGATTGGAGGGGTATAAGTGGGGTCGTTTGCGTGTTGAATTTCGTCGTCCTCATCATCAGCTCCCTCCGTGTTCCCTTCCTCTGCTCCCCGCGTAGCTCCTCCTCCTGGTGTGTCTGCCACTGGAGTATCAGCACTTAGCCAGTTTTCCATCCCTCAGTCCGTCCCCTCGCGTCCGCCTGCTTCCGACTCCTTCTCCCTACTAGCGTTGGGTGCTGCAGCGGCTGGGGTTGCTCCCCGGCGCCGTTCTTCGCGTTGTAGACGCGCAGCGACGCCGCGGAAGGTTGCAGCGCCTGTCGACGCTCGCCCGAGCCCTTGTCTGCTCCTTGTTCCTCTGTGTCCTCGGGTTGTGCTTCTCGCCCGCTCCCCCCCCGGGGCCGCGGTTGTGCCTCCGCGGGCCGTGGCTCGCGTGTGCGGGGCTCTGCTTCTTTCCGGCTGCGCTAGAGATGACGCAGGGGTTGCTCTTCTCCCCCTCGCGCCTGCCCCTACGCGAGGCCGAAGCGTCCCCGTCGCCGGTGGGTTCTCCTTCCGGCGTCTCGCTGGCTCTGTCGCCAACGTCCCAGCTGCGCTTGGAGTTTCGGCAGCAGCAGGTCCAGGTGGCAGCGATCGCGAGCGCTCTCGAGCAGCTTCTGCGGCTGCCTCGGTCCGCTGTTTGCGACCGGGTCGCGTGTTCTCCGCCGCCGCCTGAGCCCGCGCCCGCGATTGTACGACAGGGTTTCGGGGAAGTCCCATGGATCGCTCCCCGCGTCGCCCGTCTGCCCTGTCCCCGGCTCAGCCGTCGTCGTTTCCTTCTCCGTCTCGGCTTCCGCCGTCGCCCCTTCCGCCGTCGCCCCTTCTGGCCCCCCCGGCTCCCCCTCCGTCGACGCCGTTCGCCGGTGGACCTGATTCCTCTCCCCGCGGGGTCCTCCCACCATCTCCTCTGCCTCTTCCAAAGTCGCCAGCGGGACCACCAGCCGCTGTCGGACACGACGTCGTATCGGGCCAGGGCGTGTCCGCGGGGTCTCCGCCACTGCCGTTTCGTCCGATGAAGCTTCCCCGCGGGGGAGCCGCGGCGGGCTCTCGGGCAGGGTCACCTCAGACTGTGCTGCCCGGAAGACGAAGGGACCGCTCTCCGCCTCTCTCCGGTCGTCCTCAGGGGTCGGGTTTGCGGGCGGGGCGGGATATGCCGCCGGCGTCGGCAGCTGTGCTCGATGACCTGCCGCCGCTTCCTCGTCCGCCGGTCCACCTGACGTCGCCGCACGCGTTCTCGCCGGTTGAGGCGATGGCCGGCGTCGTCGCATGTATTGGCGCGGTGGCGGAGGTGCTGGATTGTCTCCGCCCACCGCCGCTGCAGGTACCTCCCCGGAAACCTGAGGCGGGTTGGTCATGGCGGCCTGCGATGTCTCGCCGCCAGCAGCAACGCGCGATGGAGGCCGCGTCACTACTCCTCTGGCGGCTGGCCTATGGGTTGCCGCCAGGAGCAGAGGCGGGGGAGCTGGATCCCGCTCCTCGCGCCGTTGATGAGTTGAATCGGTCGCTTGTGGCGAATCAGCGCCCGGCGATCTTGGCCGCTTGCGCGGCGGTGCTTCGGGCTTTGGAGAGTCGGGCTGGGGCCCTTGTCCCACCGTTGGCTTTGGAGGTGTAGTAGGTGGGCGGTTGTCTGGCGTGTAGGCCAGGTCCCCGCCATCGTGCGCTGTGGGTGGCGCCGTAGCCATAGGCTATGTGCTAGGTTGTAGCCCCCTGTGGAGGCATGCTTGTATGCTGTAATATCCCTGGTTTTGGAGAGGATACCTTTCACCTCCCCTTCTCTGCCCTCCTGCGCGGCCGGAGGCCGCGCCGCGAGCGACGGCGGCCGAAGGCCGCCGGCACGAGCGCCGCTGCAGGGACCGGATGAAGAACTCAACTCGAAACTAAATAATGAACTCTAGGATGGGTGGGAGAGCATTATATACCATGGGCTCTCCCTCTCTCTCTCTCTCTCTCTCTCTCTCTCTCTCTCTCTCTCTCTCTCTCTCTCTCTCTCTCTCTCTCTCTCCTCCTCCCCCACTCCCCCCCCTCCCCCCCCCTCCCCCCCTCTTTCTTGTCTCTCCCCCTCTGTCTCTCGCTCCCTTCTCTCTCTCCCTCCTACTTCCCCCCGCCCTTCCACACAAATCGGCTTTGCCGCGTCTCTTCTGCAAGCCTTGTGAGCGCAGTCGAAATGACACCTGTTGGGCCTGCGCCATGGGGTGTGTGCCATGGGGTGTGTGCCATGGGGTGTGTGCCATGGGGTGTGTGCCATGGGGTGTGTGCCATGGGGTGTGTGCCATGGGGTGTGTGCCATGGGGTGTGCCATGGGGTGTGTGCCATGGGGTGTGTGCCATGGGGTGTGTGCCATGGGGTGTGTGCCATGGGTGTGTGCCATGGGGTGTGCCATGGGGTGTGCGTGTGCATGTGCATGGCAGGTATTGATGTGGGGTCCCCGGGAGGAGAGCATTCCGTACTGGATTCGCCAGGTGGAGGACGCTACCACAGCACTCAAGGAGGCGCAGCGGACCGCATCCACACGAAGGTATGCGTCAGGACTCAGGGATCATGTTTTGAGTCGACTTAAAGCACACCTGGATTCGCCAGGTGGAGGACGGAGGACGCCACCACGGTGCTCAAGGAGGCGCATCGAACCGCGTCCACGCGAAGGTACCTGTACGGTTCTTTTGAGAATGCCAGAAAACAAACACCCTGGGTGCTCCCTTGTGGGTGTTGGGGGGGTTGGGGGGGAAGCGGGAGGTCGGAAGGAGTGGTGCTCTCACCTGTGGCAGTGCCAGCCGAACACCCTTCACACTCTTTTCCGCCTCTCCCCTGCCCTCTCCTCCAGGCGCACGGGTGCGGCCTTCATGGCCTTCTCCAAGCGGTGGCCGTCAGCAGTGGCAGTGCACACTGCACACTGAACACTACAGATTCCCGTTACTCCTCCCCCCCCCCCCCCTGCTCTCTTCCCCAGGCGCACGGGTGCGGCCTTCGTGGCCTTCTCCAAGCGGCGGTCGTCAGCAGTGGCAGTGCAGACGGCCCACGCGCTGCAGGGCTCGGCATGGCTCGTGCACCGCGCTCCAGAGCCGCGCGACATGGTGTGGCAGAACCTGGAGCCGCGGTTCTGGGAGCGGCGGATCCGCACGCAGGTCGCCAACGGGATCTTCGTGTGCTCTGTTGTGTTCTTCTACCTGCCGGTTACCGCTGCGAGCTTTCTGATATCGTTTGAGACGCTCGCAGCTATCTTTCCGCCGCTGCAGACCATGGATAAGAGGTGAGCGGGCGGGCGGGCGGGCGGGTGGGTGGTGGATCTGGCTGGAGAGGTTTGTATTATGAGTCGTCTGATTTTTTTTTTTTCGGAACCCACCTAAAATTTTCCGTCGCTGCAGGCCATGGATAAGAGGTGAGTGGGCGGGTAGGTTGGGGTGGTGTGGGGCTGGAGAGCCGAGGGGCGAATGCAGGGTGAAAGAGAGTGTGGGACGAGGAAACGAGAGACTGAGGAGTGAACGCTGGGGAATGAAGAATGCGTTGAACCCCACCCTCTGTTTCCTTCTCGCCGCCTTTCCATTTAGATTTCCGTTCCATTCCTATTTTCTTGACTTTTTCAAAAGAACTCCTTCCCCCCTCCTGCGTGAGGAGTTTATTTTTCAGGTGCCTAAAAAAATAAACTCCTCCCCCCCCCCCTCCACCCTTTTATTTTTGCGTCGTTTGGCATGACACTGGTGCGTGCATAAGGCATCTTTTTATCCCTCTCTATCCCCCGCTCCCCCTCCCTCCCACCTCCCTCTTTCCAACCCCGTCGGTCCCCCTTCCTCCCTTCCCCCCCCTCCCGCTACCCCCCCATGCAGCGGGCTGCTGCACAAGGGTCTGACGCTTATCCTGCCAGCAGTGGGGCTGCGCGTGTGCTACTGGATCGCCCCGCCGCTCATGGTGCTGCTCTCGTACATGCAGGGCTGCATCTCCACGTCCGCTGCTGAGCGCCTGGCCGCCGAGCGCTTCTACTACATCCTGCTCTGCAACGTGTTCTTTGGGTTCTTCTTCACCACCTCCGTGCTGCAGCAGATCCGGGTGAGAGGAGGGGGGTGAAGAATGGGGAAAGGATGGCTGGCCTTCATGGGCAGTGGTAAAATAGGTGTTTTGGGGTGCTGTGACCCTTCCTGCTCTGCAATGTGTTCTTCGGGTTCTTCACCACCTCCGTGCTGCAGCATATCAGGGTAAGAGGAGGGGAAAGGATGGGTAAAGGATGGCCGGCTTTCATGGGCAATGGTAAAATAGCAGTGTTGGCGTGCTGTGACATCCGGCTCTGCAACGTGTTCTTTGGGTTCTTCTTCACCACCTCCGTGCTGCAGCAGATCCGGGTAAGAGGTGGGGAAAGGATGGGTAAAGGATGGCGCTGCTGCCCTCATGGGCGGTGGGAAATAGCAGTGGTGGAGTGATGTTACATCCTGCTCTGCAACATCTTTATTCGACTCTACTTCACCACCCCCTTTGGTCCCCTCCACACACCCCCCCCACCCTCCCCACCCGCTCTTCCGTCCTCTCCCCCTCCGCTGCTTCCCAACCACACCAGCTCCTATTAGAGCAGCCGTCGTACGCGCTGGAGATCCTGGGGCAGTCGGTGCCGAGCACGTCGGGCTTCTACCTGTCGTACGTGATGACGTCCACCATCATCTTTGGCGTTGAGCTGCTGCGCCTGCCCATTGCGCTCTTCGTCTACCTCTTCCGCGTGCTCTTCACCGGGGTCCAGGTCGCCGATCGCGAGAAGCTCTGGAACCAGGTGGGTGGGTTATGGGGAGAAAAGAGTGCGCTGGGGAGGGGTGCTGGGAGGCTAGAGGGAGGTATGAAGATGGATTTCGAGGTTCCAAATCTAAGATGTAAATGTAGTCGGCGTGAGTTTGCACTGGGGATAGATGACCGCTACCTTGTCAACATGGGTGCTTGGTCTAGTGGTATGATTCTCGCTTCGGGTGCGAGAGGTCCCGAGTTCGATTCTCGGAGCACCCCTTTCTCCAATGTTTTTCCTATCTGAGGTACTGCCACCCCTCTGCCCTGCTCACGTGAATGTCTTCTTGTATCCCTGAGCATTCCACGTACTATCCACCTTCCTCTTTCCTTGTTCCTTCTCAAAACCCTTCTCTTCTGCTCATCCACCCCCTCTGACAACCCCATTCCCTCCCAACTCCCTCCTCCCCCCTCCTCAGACCGCCACCCCCCGCCATGCTACCACCCCCCAGGGCGGCATCAACTACCACATTTTTTTCCCCTACCAGAACCTGGTGATCACCATCAGGCTCGTGTGAGCTGTTGCTTTTTTATTCGCCTTAAAAATTCTTCCTTTCTCCCCCCTTGCCACCCATGGGCCTTCATACTCCCCACCCCGCAGGGCGGCATTAACTACCACATCTTCTTCCCATACCAGAACCTGGTGATCACCATCGGGCTCGTGTAAGCTGTCGCTTTTTAATTCGCCTCAAAAGTTCTTCCTTTCTCCCCCCTTGCCACCCATGGGCCTTCATACTCCCCACCCACCCCGCAGGGCGGCATCAACTACCACATCTTCTTCCCGTACCAGAACCTGGTGATCACCATTGGACTCGTGTACGCTGTCATCGCGCCCATCATCCTACCCTTCGTCTGCTTCTACTCCTGCGTCGGGTACCTCGTTTGGAAGCACCAGGTGGGTGCTGAATGAACGGAACTGAACGGAACTGCCTTGGATACTCTCTCACCCTTATTATTCCTCCCTTCCCTGTCGCACCATCTTGCCTTGTGTTTCTAGAGCAACGTCTCGCCCCCATGCTCTTCCGCCCCGCCCTTGCTCACCCGCGCTTCCCCTCATCTTTAACCCCACCCCACCCAACCCCCTCCGTCCTTTTCTTTCCAATCAACCCCCCCTCCCCCCCCTCCCCCCCCTCCCCACCAGATTATGTACGTGTACTCGTACCCGTACCAGACAGGTGGGCTGCTGTGGATAAAGTTTGTGGGGCACGTGAACACCGCCCTCATCATCGCTCAGGTGACTGGCGTTGCCACCGAGAGAACTGAGAGAACACCGCCACTTAGAGGGTTTGCCATACATGGCAGCGGAATCTGTAAAGACACTTGTCGTTCGTAGAGAAAACCGCATGTGAACTGAACTGTGGGGGCACGTGAACTGTGTGGGCACGTGAACTGTGGGGGCACGTGAACTGTGGGGGCACGTGAAGTGTGGGGGCACGTGAACTGTGGGGGCACGTGAACTGTGGGGGCACGTGAACTGTGGGGGCACGTGAACTGTGGGGGCACGTGAACTGTGGGGGCACGTGAACTGTGGGGCCACGTGAACTGTGGGGGCACGTGAACACACAACCCTCATCATCAGACGGGTGATGAAGGCACTGGTGGGGTTGCCACCGTGGGCTTCGTGGGGGCATTGGGCACCCTGTGCTTCTCGGGTGATCATCTTTGCCGCCTTTGGCATCTTTGCCTTCTTTGGTATCTTTGGCATCTCTGGCTTCAAGCGCCTTCTATTCATGCTACCATCAACATCAATGTAGTAGCCACGCACACACGCACTGATACAATAGCCTGTTCATGGGGTTCACATGGGCTCATGCACTCATGCATTCATGCGCTCATGCATTAATCGTGCAGGTGACGGTGATCGGCATCTTAAGTATCAAGCAGGCGTACCTGCAGGCGGCAGTGGCTGCGCCCTTGCCCTTCGTGACCTTCTACTTCATGGCGCTCGTGCATGCCAAGTTCACCAACACCTTCCAGTGAGTGCTCCATCTGCCGGATGTGCCGCCGCGCACTGCCGCAGTGACCTACACTGCTTCCCCTCCTCTTTCTCGTCAGCACCTCCCCCCATGTCCCCTAGTTGAGAGCAACGCTCTATCCAACCCTTGTTGCGCAGTCCCCTTGTTGGCCCTTGGAGCTGGCCATGCTGTCCGCAGTCTTGGAAGTGAACAACCAGAGCCACACACCATGCTGCCAGCCATGGACGCCATGGCTGGCAGGGCACCCCTGTTCAACTCCAACAAAAATCGCACGAAACCATTTTCACCCTTCCCTTCCCCTCCTCCTCCTCCTACCCCCATTCCCCCCACCATCCCCGCTTCCACTATTTCCATTCTCCCCTTTGCCGAGCCCTCCATCTCTCCGTCCCCGTCCCCAGGCTCCTCCCCTTGGACCTAGCCGTGGACGTGGACGAGCACAAGCAGAACCACGCCATGGGGCGATCCACGGACGCCGTGGCGTCCGAGTACATGCCCTTCTGCATGCGCCCGCTGTGCAACCCCAACAGAGGGGTCGAGTTTTGAGGCGCCTCAAAACTTCGCAACCCCAACAGAGGGGTCGAGCTTTGAGGTGCCTCAAAAATTCGCAGCCCCAACAGAGGTTGGGTCGCACCGGAACCATGGTCACCCTTCTCCCCTCCTCCTTCCCCTTCACCTCCCCCTTTCCTTTCCCCCTTCTCCCTTCCATCTCCCCCCTTCCCCTCTACCCCATCTTCCCCCCTCTCCCCAGGTTCCTTCCCTTGGAGCTAGCGGTGGACGTGGACGAGTACAACCAGAGCCACTCCATGCGTGACGCCATGGACGGCATGGCGTCCGAGTACATGCCCTTCTGCATGCGCCCGCTGCGCAACCCCGACCTCTCGCCCAGCGCGCCCCCCGAGGCGAACATCCACCAGTTTATCAACCCGGACTTCTACGTGTCTCCTCTGGAAGCCACGATGGTGGAAGCTAGGAAGCTGTCTGTGATTGCGCATTCCATGAGCCTCAGAAGGTTCAAGGGGCCCGGGTCGTTTGGAGAGGCGGACGGGAGTGGGTCGGGTAGGTCTGCTGCTGCTGGGGGTGGTGGTGGGGGGGATGGGGAGTTGGAGGGGGGTGGAGTAGCAGGGGGGTCGGGAGAAGGGGAGGCAAGGGAGGGAGGGGGGGGTATGTGGGGGGCTGTGCTTTCACGGGTGCCGCTGTTGGCGTGGCTGGGACGGGGGATGTCGAAGGCGCAGGGAGAACAGCAGGAGGGTGGAATTGGCACTAGTGACGCAGCTGCTGGTGCTGGTGGTGCTCATGGTGCTGATGGTGCTGCTGGTGGCAGTACCAGTAGCAGTACTAATAGCACGATTGGTGCAAAGGATGGGGCTGGAGGAGGAGGAGGAGGAGGAGGAGGAGGAGGAGGAGGAGGAGGAGGAGGAGGAGGAGGAGGAGGAGGAGGAGGAGGAGGAGGAGGAGGAAAGGGAGGGTCGGACCCAGCGCGTGGCGTGGCGTGGCACGTTGCTGAGGGGAGGGTAGTGGCGGAGGGGTCAGAAGCTTGCCAGTTGAATGGTGGTGGTGGTGGTGTGGACGTGGAGGGGAGAATGGAAGGCATAGCGGAGGGGACAGGAGCGGAGGAGGAGGAGGATGGATATGGGGAGCAGCAAGGGGAGGAGGAGGGCGAGAACGGTCCGCTATTAAGGCACTCGGAGGGGCACGTCGCTGGGCATGATGTGACAGCGAGTGCAAGGGGACATGAGGATGGGGTGTCAGGGCATAGGCATGGGCATGGGCATGCGCATGGCACAGGAGTTGCTTGTTTTTCCGCTGCATTTGGGGGGCATGTGAATAGGGCGAGTGGGCAAGGGATGGATTCGGATAGCAACGCCGACGGGGAGAGAGGAGTAGATGCAGAGGAAGAAACAACGGCTGGGGATGGTGGAGAGGAAGCATCCAACAGTGCAGATGAGCTGGGAACTGGGCCGAGCAGAGAACAAGAGAGAAGTGGGAGGGAAGGGGGGAAGGCAGAGGACGGAAGGAAGGAAGGAGAGAGGGTGTTGGTGGGGGAAGGAAGCGGGGTAAGGGGCAGCTGGGGGGACGTCAGAGCTGCTGCTGCTGCTGCTGCTGGTGCTGGTGCTGCTGGTGCTGCTGGTGCCACTAACACGACAACGAGAGAAGAGCCTGGAGAGGGGAGTGTGAGCAGCGTGGGTGGGACAAGGGAGGATGGCAGGAGAAGCAGTGATACCACTAGCGGCACAACGATGGGCTCCGCCACGCGTGGTGCTGCAGGTGTTGCTGTGGCTGGTGGGGGTATAGGAGAGGGAATAGGAGAAGGCTGTCAGGAAGGGAACGCGAGAGTGCAGGAGAGGAGTGAGAGGGAGCTGGGAGGAGCGAGCGTGTCAGTCCGAAGCATGTGGCCGAGCAGCGAGGGGAGTGCAAGCGCGGGGTATGGTGGCCCGTCCTGGAGTATGAGTGGAGACATCATTCAGTACAATCACAGCGATGCCACTGGACTCCCAGGTGCAGATGCTGATGGTGTCAGCGCTGCTGGTGACAGTAACGCTGGTGACGTCGCTGGCGGTGCTGGTACTGGTGATCGTGCCAGTGTTGCTGCTGCTGCTGCTGGTGACGACAATGCCAATGCCAATGCCACATCCGGTGCTAGTGGGCGGCAGAGATAAATGGTGGTTGAGCTCATTCTCTTGGGCACAGATGATTGTGATGTGAGAGAGGGATCTGATGGTGGTAGCATACAGCACCAATGTCAGTCAAAAGGTGGTGGTGAGGTGATTTGCTGGCACAGCTCCAGTATTCAGTGCATGGGGAGGAGGCTGAAGGTAAGGAATCTCCTGCAGTGACCAACCAATGTCGACCATTTCGTTGTCTGTCAACAATTACTCGAACCTTGTGGCCTAAGCGGGCTTTTGCTGCAGTGCCATCATAATAGAGCGCTGTCATACGACAGGGTATGTGGCAGAGCTGTGCTGCACTGTAAATTGCAGTATGCACCTCGGCATTCACAATAGCTGCACTGCGACGCTTGCATTGGGGTAACAAAAGTGGTCCAACCAACACAATAGCTTCGACAGCAGACCACAATACCGGTAGCCGCCGTACTTCTGCTTTGTAATGAAAGTACTCCCAGACAAATGGTACAGGAATTAGCAAAACTGCTCAGCCTACCCACTGTCCAACCAGTAAGGGTGCAGATGTGGCATTGCACCACCCCTCACTCCTTAATGCATCATGCAGTGTTACATGCTGGCAGTGAGAAGCGAAGCACATACTGTACTACTTCAGCTATCTTCGGCTTGACAGGGAACACTACACAGTATAACTGAGCAAGCAGAAAGCAATGATATGGCATGCAAGCGCGCATCCGCATGGGAATAGAAAGCTTGCAGCTGTCTGAGATGCACTCCGGGCATGGCATCATCTCGTCAATGTCAGAATGCCCATACCAGAATGTGTGGCACGGCACGGCACCGCACACACTCCAACAGGCTGGAGCACCAAGCAATGCACTGCACTGCAACGCAACGCAGCGCAGCGCATTGGAACGCAACGCTGGGAAGGGCGGCCTTGAGTGGAGCAGAGGGGCTTCTTTGCAAGTGGTGTTGCATGCATGGTGGCAGCAGTGGAGATTGGGAAACATGAAACAACAGTGCTGCTGCTGCTGCTGCTGCTGCTGCTGCTGCTGAGGGGTCGTGAGCAACGGGACGAGAGGACATGCGGAATCAGCAATCTCTCCAGTAGCAGATGGGATGGTTGGCTAGATGCCACCCAACAACCGCTCCAGTGGGAGGGACTCTGGGATGTGCCGCTGAACACTTATCACACATATCATACTTCCCACACTTCTCGCGCAATTCTCGCTATTCCCACACAGCATCCTGCTCCTTCTCTCCACACCACCCACACTCCCATCCCGGGAGGGAAGTCTCTAGAAAAAAACCTTGCCCTTCGGCCCCCACAGCCCAACTCCAGCACACCTCAGCCCTTAGTCGTTCTTCTTATCCTCGCGCTCCCCATCCCCACCCCCATTCGCAGCAGCAGCAGCAGCAGCAGCTCCTGCAGCCTTGGCAGCAGCAGCAGCAGCAGTGGACTTGGCGTCAGAGGAGAGAGAGGAAGGGCGGATTGCCTTGGCCTCTACGCCGCCATCCGCCCGCTTGACGAGCGCGAAGGGCATGTGCGTGCCCAGGAGCATGTCCCACACGGGAAAGAAGGGCTGCGAGTAATTGAAGCGGAAGCCAGACAGCTGGTGGTGGATGTCGTGGTAGGCTGCAGGGGTGGGGTGTGGGGGGGTAGGGGGGGTAGGGGGGGGGAAGTGGGAGCAAGGTCGGGAGAAAGAAGGAAATTAGGAGAAAATACTTTTCTAGTCGACTCAAAATTCAGGCATGTCCCACACGGGGAAGGTGTATTTTGAGTCGACTCAAAATACACCAGGTATGTCCCACAATGGGAAGAAGGGCTGTGATTAGTTGAAGCGCAAGCCAGATAGCTGGCGGTGGATGTCCTGGTACACTGGGGGTTGGGCGGGTGGGGGGGAGGAGTGGGATGATATTAAGGTGGGAGAGGAGAGGTGGAATATGAGAACTGGAAGGGGGAGAAAGCAGACCGAACGTTAAGGTGCTGCTGCAAGTGCATTTATGGCCCGCACAAGGGAAGAGCCAATCTGATTTCTCAAACAGCAAGCGACGCGTTCAAGGTCAAAGCACACGAGTATGCTTGTCTGTTAGATCTGTGCATTAGATGATGTGGCTGCATGCGTACCGGCATTGTTGAGGAAGAAGCGCTGGAAGGGCTTGAAGGGCAGTACAATGCCACGTTTAAGTGGAATCAAATGGCATCTCGGAGCAGCGTCTACAGGCATTTTTTAGTCGACTGAAAAGGTGACTTCAGAGTCGATTCATAAGGCATCTCGGAGCGCAGCGTACCGGCATTGTTGTGGAAGAACCGCTGGAAGGGGCTGAAGGGCAGAACGAGGCCGCAGTGGTCATCAACGGTCTTCATGGTGGCGAAGGTAAAGAAGTAGATAGCCGTGCGCGGATGCATGCCTGGCGCCCCCGGGGGAAGGGGAGGAGGGAGAGACGCCATGTGGGCAGGGGCACAGAGGGAGGGGCAGAGCAAGTTGAGTGGAGAGAGGAGAGGGGAGAGGAGGCAGGTGAAGACAGAAGGGGAGGGGAAGGGGAGGGGAAGGGGAGGGGAAGGGGAGAGGAAGGGGAGGGGAAGGGGAGGGGAAGGGGAGGGGAAGGGTAAGAGATGAACAGCAGGGCGGCTGCAAGGAAGCAGACCACACAGCCACAGCTGTCGAGAATGACCCCACCTTGCTGCAGCAGTTTAAAAAGAAAATAAATAGCTTTCTTCTTAGAATTCTCGAGATGCACGTAGTACACACCGGACGCAAGGAAGGAGACGGCGCCGCCAAAGGTGTCGAGAATGAGCCCCTCGAGGGGGTGGTTGTAGAGGGCGCCATAGGCGTACGGCACCAGCAGCCTGTGGTGCCAGCTGTGCAGGTTCCTGGGGTAGGAGGGGGAGGAAGGGAACAGGGGAAGAAGAGCGACGGGGGGTAGTCTGTGTATGTGTGCACGCACTCGAGTGTGTGTGTGTGTGTGTGTGTGTGTGTGTGTGTTGGGGTGTGTGTGTGTACCTGTGTACACGAGTGTGTGCACGTGTGTGTGCGCGTGTGCTTGTGCACGCATGCACGCACTTGTGTGGCATGCGTGGGTTATGTGTGTGCACGCGGCCGAGTGAATGAAGCAGGAGAAAAGGAGGGCGGGGAAAGATAGACCAACCTACCACCAGTCCACTCCACCACCCACTCCACCACTCCACCACCACTCCACCACCCACAGCACCACCCCATCCTCTCTTCAACCCTAAAACCCAACCCCAAAGCCACTCTATCATCTCCTAAGCGACCCCCATTACCCTTTCCATCACCCCACCCCCCAACACCACCACTAGCACCACCATCACCCCAGCAGCAGCAGCAGCAGCCCTGTCGGACCGACCTGTAAAGAAAGCGGCTCTCGTGCATGAGGCGGTGCCAGAAGTACTGCCACGCGTCCATCACCACCATTGCCACGCCCACCTGCGCCACCTGCACCCACACGCTGGGCGGCGACTCCCCGTGGTTCTGACTGTTGGGGTCCACCTGCGTGCGGCACAGGGAGGAGTCGCAGAGAGAAGCGAGGGAGGAGGGAAGGGGGGAAGGGGGGAGGGGAGGGAACGGGGTTAGGGGCAGGGAAGCGAGAAAGGGAAACCTGCACCCACACGCTCGGCGGCGACTCCCCGTGGTTCTGACTGTTGGGGTCCACCTGCGCGCGGCAGATGGAAAGGCGGGACAGGATTACCCCCAGGGACAGGCCGAGAGAGAGAGGGGGATGGGGAGGAAACGGGGGGTCGGAGCAGGGAAGCGAGAGGGAGGTATACAAGGGGGAGGGGAGTGACTTGAGCGCTCTTTCGCCAGTAGTAGAGGAGGTCGTCCCAGTGAGTGCCAAGTGGCAAGCCAGACTGCGTACGAGGAAACATGCCTTCTCAACCCGCGCGAATGCGAGAGAGTAGAGTTGACTCTATCTTGAACCATGCCAGAGAATCTCACATTTAGTCAAGCATCACGCATTTACTCGTGGGGCCACTCTGGGCAGCTCGGTGGGGCTGCTGTAGCGCTAGTGCGGAGGATGGTGCAGGCACGACGAGCACGCCTTAAAGCTGCCTAGAAGTTTGCTTAGAAGAAGCTGCGAGTGTGGTGCGCTCGACATGCAGCAGCCAGGTATACATCGTCGCGAGGCGGCAAGAGACGAGGTTGTAGTAAGGCTGGAGTGAGAGAGAGCATACCAGGAAGAGAAGCACGGCGACGACGACCTGCAGCAGCTGCTGGAGAAGCACTCCTCGCACGACTGAAGGATGGGCAAGAGAGGGCGAGGCAGAGGAGGCCGGCGGAGGGAGCCGTAGGTGGAGGAGGGGGAGGAAGAGGGAATGGTGAGAGGGCGAAGCAGGCACGGACGATATGCGAGAAAGACGAGTGTAAGGTTGAGGCGCGGAGAGGAGACGGGAATAAGGGCGAGAGAGGGTGTGATAGATTTTAGCGAATTTTAAAATACTATCAGAGGTGAGATAGGAAGAGGGACGAGAGAGGGCGCGCGTTGTGTGTTCGAGTCCACGAGCGAAGTGGAAGGCGAGAAGGGTGAGAGAAGCATGAAGTGGATGAGCGACGGGCCACGGGGAAAGAGATTGAGAAGAGACCAAAGGGGGAGAGAAGGGGAGAGAAGGGATACGAAGGGGAGAGGAGGGTTGAGAAGAGACGAGGAGATGAGGTAGTGCGGAAGTCATACCGGCTCCTTTGGAAACGAGGTTGAGTTTCTGCTCGTCGCTTCGACTGTGCAGCCGCCATCGATTCATGACCTGGCCACGCCCAGACAACACCATACGGCCACGGGAGATCGAAACGACAGACTGATACTTAAGTACAAGCCATGGCAGTATAACAGCTGACTGACAGCTGACTAACAGCTGACTAACAGCTGACTAACAGCTGACTAATAGCCGCTTAACAGCTGACTGAGACGGGCTGATGAGGACGGGTTCACCACAGCCACGAAAAAGTGGGCCACCACCACCACTTTGGGACCATGCGGTGCGTACGACCTTCAAAACGCTTCTGAGCGCGCTCCATGGTTTCTGAGCGCGCTTCAAAAGACCTCTTTGGGACCATGTGGTGTATTCAACCTCCCAAACGCCTTCACGTCCGCTTTATTGACCGCTTTAGGACCATGCGGTTTGCCTGCCTGACCTCCGAAACGGCGGGTTAAAGCGTACATTTCCATTCTAGCGCTACCAGCCCGCTCACGACACCCGCATTCAGAACCCCCATTTTTCACGACACCTGTTTGCAAGCCATGTCCAGCTGATCGCTTTCATGACACCTGCATCATCGGTTGATACAAGCTCCTCTCTTTTCACGATCGCCGAAAGAAGAGAGAGTGAGGGTTTGAGAGAGAGGGAGAGGGAGAAAAAACCGAGCCGAGCCAACGTAACATCTTTCAAGCCTGGTAAAAACACACTCCAAAGAATACTTAACGAACACAAGCGACGAGGGTCGGACAAACAACAGAGGCACGGTCTCGTGGATCAAAAAAGAAAAAAACCAAAACGCCAGCTCTAGCGATCAGGGAGCGAGACAAGAAGACGCGCGCTGAATGCGAGGACAGGAGACAAGGAGACCGACGGCACCAGCACCCACATTCACAAAAAGGCAATGGGAAAAGAAGAGTCCAGGTCAACAGAATACGAGCCACGAGCTGGTTGTAAATTCTTTAGCCACCCGAGTTTAACACGAGTTAGCGGTCCCTGCCGCGGAATTCTCTGCAGATCTACTCATTCATTCCTTCGCCTACGTCCTGTCTGCAGGCAGAGGCTGGCGAGTAGATGGCGAGGAGGCGACGCACCTTAATGTCCATACTGTCGAGGAAATCCAGGAAGCCGCCATATATCCAGTACACGACCACGGGCAGCACGATCCCTAGCGCGTGATCCCGCATCTCCACCATGGTGCTCGGCCCTCGCAATGCAGTTACACACACGTTCAATGCAGATGCAGACCCGTTCGTTCAGCACTAACCCAGAGCGATCGTGAGAGTCGGTTCAGCTTCAATGAGACGTGATGAGGGGATGCGTGACCTTGGCGATAGCTGGTGATGTGACTAAACGACTAGATGTTGACCAGGCGGCAGGTATGGAAGTTTTGCAGCTTAGTGGGGGAGGCCTAATACTCCAGCGGATTCCAGTAGGTGTGCTTTGCACGGTCCAGCACATAGTCTTCTAGTCTTCTCTCCTACTGATTCGTGTTCCACACACAATTACAGAGTATCTATTCCTGGAGCCTGACCTCGCAACTGAGCTCTAGGTGTTTTGTCTGGGCTTGCTACCTTTCCAGCCTTCCTACCTCCTCCGCCTACTTTCTCTCAAGAGAAACTCCATGTGACCTCTCTCTCTGACTATGGTATGGGTGTTCAAAAATCGGGTTACTTCGAGATTTTCAGTGAAGACCTGAAGTTGGAAGAACCGAGGTTTTGCCTCGATAATAAAAAAGGTGGTTTCTGTTTGTTTAGGCACGGAAACCCTGAACCGTGGCCAGTGAGTATAGGTGGGAGGCACGTCGCAACCAATCAATCCCTTCGTAAACCAGCCAGACCCGCAAAACACTGTAGCCCCCAACCATTGTTGGCCTGAAGCCCTCTAAGTCCCCTCGAAGCCCTGAAAGAAGCCCACCCCGAGTCCGAAACGGGCCCTTTCTGTGAAGTTCCCAAGTTCCCAAGCTGACCTCAACAAAGCAGCACCCCCCCCCCCCCCAAACCGACCCCCCCCCCCCCCCCACTTTGAGATGAGACCCCCTTGATGTGAAGTTCCGACATGAGGATAGATTGGGAGAATCTGACATGTTGTGGCTCAAACCGAGTGTTGTGGATGGAGGCCTGAAGCATCATTCACAAGCAGCTACAGCAAGGTACCACAAGCATAAAATCAGGGAACTTGAAAACGAAAACCGTCTTCAGATATCATCAGTGTGTCAGCGCCCACAGCGGCAGGCCAATCGATGTCCAGCACCCCGCCAGAATGCTGTTCTGTACCTGGGATGCTGTTTTTGGGCTTCAACCAACGGCGGGATCTTGGCGAGCTTCCATCCCCCCAACCAATCCGTGATGGCCATGTCGACTGGCGCAGCCACCACTCTGCTCATCCACACGGGATGGCACGGAAGTTTTTGGCAAATCCCGATTTTTTCAGGAATCAGCACGGACTCACACTATGGGGAAATTATAGAACAGGTCACTGTTATCGACTGTATATCACACCTCGTCACCCCTGACACACGTACGCGCACCTTTTCCGACGGCGAGCCGCAGCGCGTTACTCCCGAAACATGGGAGGTCACTCCTGGCAATTTTTAAAACGAGAGGTCACTCACCGAAACCCCCGCCCGAACATCGTCCGTTTCACTCCTTTTCCCGCATGCACATTTTCTATAGTTACGATCCTCACTTGCAACCAAATGTTTCCAGGTAAGTGTCGCCTCGTTTACAGATTCCAACCAAGTTGGGGCAGTATTGAAACTTGCAGCATGGGAGTTTCTTCGTCATGAAATCAGCTGTCATTTCTTCTCTAGGGCAGTATTTCAGGATGACCTTCCCTCTGTCGATTTCGTCATTGACGAAGAAGTAACGAAGGACGATGCGTTTTTTCCTATAAATGAAGTCGGGCTTGTTTGCAATCTTGATTACGCTCTGGTTGCCGTGGACTAACTTCAAGATATGTGTCATTGCGATTTTTGCCTCTTGAATTAACTCTTGATTATAGAGTCCCTCACGAACTGCAGAGCTTGCTGCGATGAATTGTTTCGAATTCCAAGAAATGACACCACCCGATTTAAGTTTGAAGATAAACCTTGTATGCGAACGCCTGCTGTCAGGGTTAGCTGCGTGATCCGCATCAATGCATCTAGTATGTCAAAATTTGTTACAGTGTTTGTCCTGTAGTTGAGACCGATTGTACAACTAGAAATAAAATATAGAAGGGCTCGACGAAGATCGGTTATATTCTCCCCTTCAGCTCGACGAAGGTACTGTGCGAGCTGACTCATGATGTAGGGAAGATCTGGGCGGCATATAACGAACGCAAATAGAAGACATCTGAGCTGTTGATGGTAAAGCTAATGCTCGAAGGCGAAAAGTGGGAAAGTATTAAGTGTATGATTGGCTGCAATATGACGAAATATAGTGGTGAGGCCGATAAGAGCGACAGCGAACTTTTTTACAAGTAATTCTGCATACTTGCATGCAGAAAGATAAATAGCATCAAGGCCGTAGTCGAAGTTTAACCCAAGAAATAAGGTGACGTTTATAGAAATAGTCATTTCAAGAATCGTCTGGATTCTTTTCTCCATGCGCACCAGAAGACTATTGCACAAGCCGGTGTATAGTAAGTTGTCGACGTATGCGACTAGAAGAATGTAGTGTCCCCGAAATTCAAATATGTACATTCCTGGATCGTGCGGCAGCTGCATGAAGTCGAGTGAAACTAGGACCTTGTGAAGATGTTGCTGCCACAATCAAAGAGCCCATAGAGTGACTTAAGTAATTTGCAAATGTTAAGTCTGTCGTCGTAAGTGTAAGGGAGTTCGACAAAAAATACCTACATCAACATCTGTATATAAAAACATATTTTTAACGTCCAGTTGGCAAAATAGAATATAGTGGCTAACAGTAATGGCGAGAAGAATTTGCACTAAAGTATGACGGCTGACCAACGCGGAAGTCTGGTCGTAATCGATGCCATGGGTTTGCTCGAATCCTCGAACGATCCATCTCCCTTTGAATTTGTCTAGTTCGCCTCATGCGTTTGTCTTTATGCGAAAGACCCACTTTCCCAAAAGATTTTTCTTGTTGCGTCCTGCTTTGCGTAGAACGGGTTTCCACGTTTTTTTGGCTTCTCGAGAGTTGCGACCTATGCATCCATAGTTGCTTGCCACTTATCAGCATAAGAACCGGAGAGGGCCTGCTTAACTGTTTTCGGCTCAATCCTGGTCGTTGATTGCTGAACTGCGACAGCAAGTCCGAGGATCTAAAGAGTCGATTGGTCACCACGAGGATGAGGTTGGCAAACTTCAGATGGCAGATGGCGTCCACCTTTAGGTGATGCTGCGTCAATTTTCTATCGGCGAAGGTGCTTATAATTATAGGCAGCTTGTGGCAAGATGCAACGAGTCTAAAAAGGGAATGAAGAGCAGTGTTCTAGTATTAATGGTACGTATCAAAAGAATATAAGAGTTGAATAATTGTTCGGCTCCTGATGTAGACTGTTGCGGAACCGTAGAAGGTCGTGCTGCTGCGCTATCGGGCGGATAAGAATCTTTGGCTGCATCTGCTGTTGAGAATAGCCCTGATCCTACGAAGGTTGCAAAAGTCTGTGGAGGTGGCATATCAATAAAGTCTGCGAACACGAGCCCTGCAGAAAGGTCCATCGACAAAGAGCAGATTTGTCGACAAGGCGAGGCTTTTCGGGAAGTGGCAGAGGAGCAGTTTTCGTTGGTGGCAGAAAGCGGTTCTGCCGGAATGGCAGAATAGGAGCGCTTTTTCTGCAGATGGATTCTACAGAATTCTGTGCTTTTGTAGAAGCGGTCTTGGCAGAAACGAGAGTGTACAAGACCCGCTGCCGATTTGGCACCAGGGACCATTCGCAGAAGACATTTCTGCGGGCGATCCTTTTCGGCAGTAGCGAGTTTGCAGAAATGCGTTACAGCAGGCTTCGGGCAGAGTAACGCAAGGCCCTGCTCGCACAGAAATGCGTTCTACCGAAGTTCGGCAGAAATGCAATTCGGCTATCAATTCTGTTGACGACCCCCTCGGCAGAAACGAAATTCGGCAGAAGTGCGGCAGAGAGTCATCTCGGACTTCGCTTCTGTGAGCGACCCTTGGACAGAAAAACGAGGACTTCAGTTTTCCTGATGAAGGTGCGTTCCGAAATCGCGAGAAATTTGCGATTTCGTAAGTTAACCTCAGAACCGATCTGGACCGAAAAACAGCAAAATCTACCTGCGACATTGAGAAATTGAACACGTGACGCACATTTCGTAACTGCGGAAATGTGCGTAACATCTGACAGTTTCAGATCTGAAACTGTTAGAATAACTACTTCTAAGTGGGTAAAATTACCAACTAAGCATGTGCTGTAATTTTCACCTGCCATTGCTGACTTGGCTAAGCGCAGCTTAGATTAGTTATGTAAACGTTCTTGTGTGAACGTTCTCGTCATGTTCAATGAGGTTCAATGGGGCCTTACTAGTGTTTGCCTTGTGTACCATACCTTGTAATCTTGATTCTAGTGAATTTGTGTGCCCAAGCTTTCTCAAAAGCTGCTCAGTAAATCACACAATTCTGAAGGCAACTTTCTCCTTAGAGAACAACAGTGCTACAGAAGCTCCTGTTATAACAGTGAACTCTGCATATGCTTCGTCTTGAATGGTGGTGAAACGTCGTTCGGCATTATAGCGATCAGGATCCCGCTGGTGGCGTTCCTTGTCGCGCTCGAAGTCATCGAGAAAAGTTTCTCGTGGCAAATGCAGTCTCGGGCATACAACACCTTTCGGGTTTTGAAATCCATAATTATCAAGGAATAGGAATCCTTGGGTACACCAAGGTGTATTTCCAAGCGAGCCCGTCCAGAAAATCTGCCCGCAGTTGCGCTCGGAGGTCTGTATTGGACCATGCAGCCCCAAACTCGTAGAAGTTGAGTGTCGGCGGGGTGTTTTGTCCACATGACATGTGGCGAGCTGAACTGAGAAAGGGCTGTTGTAGACAGGCTATTGTGCAGGCGGACAGCTTGCGCCATCGCAAACGGCCAAAAATCTGCTGTGAGGCTGGACTGTTGCAGCAGCACGCGCATCTTCTCTTGCAGCGTCCTGTTAGTTCTCTCAGCTACTCCATTCTGCCGATGGGCGTAAGGCACAGTCTTGCGCCTGATTATCCCTTTTTGCACTAGGAATTCATCGAACTGCTCGTTGGTGTACTCGCCCGCGTTGTCTGTCTGGATCTCTTTCACCTTGATGCCACCATGTCGCTCCGCGATTTTACAGCCACAATTTGAAGGCGTCGAGAGCTTCAGATTTGTGAAAGATATTCTTGTTCCAGACGTATAGAGTAGCACGGTCGATGAAGGTAATGATATAGCGGTAGTTGTTACTGTTGATATTTTCTGCTTTCTGCGGCATGAAGAGTATGTCGGTGAAAACGACATCCATAGGTGAGTACTTAGTAGCACTTGGAAAGTGCGACGGCGACGGAGCGTGACTTAGGTGATCTCCGGGGCAAATGGTGCAAAGTAGTTGACGAGTGCTAGGTCGGAGCTCTTGGTCGTTGGTTAAAATGAGTGTGTCCTTGTCGAGAACTAAGGCTTTATTTGAGTTATTGAGAGCTTATTGCAAGGGATGACCTAACCGCTTGTGCTA